AATGTTGAACGAAGTCAATAATCCCCTGAAGGCAAATTCTAATCTTTTGTGGAATTCTTGATACTTGGGATTTGTCTAACGTCACTCCAGTGGACGCATCCCTATGTTTGTCCCCTGCTCAATTAAAGTGTTTTCTTTTCCTCCACACAAGATGGACATTATAAACGCATTAGAAGTCTCACAGATCGTAGGTTAGAGATATTCTATCAAATTGATCACAATGGAAGGTCTGTAGATGGAAAAAAGTGGCCGTAATTATCCGGCTCCGCGTGTATTGAATTAACATATAATTTGGATATGATGAAAATTGGGGGTCAACGCTGCGCTGTGGAGAAATTGTGGCAGCATGAGTGATCGTATTTGCTCAGCATGAGATGTAAAACAGATTTTCAACATTAACCTGAGAGAGTCACTGTGGAATGGTGACGTGAGATCACTCCAAATCGATCAACATTGTTCGAGAGAGTCTACACACGCACCTGTTTGCCCTCCATGATTGTACAGATGATAAGATAGATGTGTGCGCGCGGGGAGAGATCGGGGGCGGCGGCGGACTGCTTAATAGTAATAATTTTCAAATGGCAAATGAAGTGGCAATGCGGAGACGCACTCACAGACACGATCATGATGGTCATTAGAACATGATCGATGGTCGTAAATGCACTTGTTTTCCAGCAGGTCACATCCACCCAGATAAGCCTCGGCTTTTCTCCTTTGCAGATTGACAAACGAGATCACTCGATGGAGTCTCAATATCTTGGTTGATCATTTCGCGTGATCGCATTTTGGGATCGCGCAAGTGAAAGCGAGATCAATGGATTCTTCGTTTTTTTTCTTTATCTCTTGTGTCTCTCTTTTTGGTTTCTGGCCTCTGTGCCGGTTTTGCACAGGGTTTGTTTTATATGAAATGTGAGTGATTCTCGGGCTGAAGCGATCTTCCAATTACTTTGTCATAATCCCATGTTTGTCTGGCAGAAAATTCCATCTTTGGTGAGAAATAATGGGCTCTGGCAGAGGATTTTACAAGCGTCATGATTAATGATCAATGAAATATTAAAATCAACCATTGAATGTCTCATGTATGATCTCTTTGATCTCTCCTGTGCATGTTTACGCCACGAGAGATTGAGTTTCCCATTGTATTTTGGGGCTGGGTGGTTATATTCAAATGGGCGAAAGGCGCACAAAAGGTATAACGAGAAAGAGTGCCAAACAGAAATTCAATGCGGCAAAAGAGTGGATGATGAAGTGTAAAAAGCGAGACAGAGGAAAACAATCTTTCGGAGATAATTTTTGGGATGTTGAAAAATTGATTTCTATCTTTTATTCTCGACTGTATAAATATTTTTCTATTGAAATGACGCGATGGAAATGTGGAAAGGACCCAAAGATGATTGGAGGATGCTGTGAAATGTTGAAAAATGATGACCTGGTGAGCAGCAATTATTCATTGGTGATGCCGTTGATTCGTTAAATTCACAATCATTCTTCTGAAATGTTGGCGGTAAGACGCGAGATTGGTGAGCGCGCGAGAAGGTATTAAAGCGATGGCCCATCTCAGCGTGGATTTCATGAAACTCAATCAACTATATTATGGGCGCGCATGAAGAGAGGGAAATTGATACGAAAAATCCCTTAAGAAGCCGATTAAAGTGACAATTCTAGCAGAACGCAAAATCCTCATTACATTTCACTTATTCCAATCTAATGGCAAAGAGGTTGAATTGAGTAATTATCAATCGAAAAAAATCCCACTGCCATTTCATTTCAATTGGCACTCTTTCCCACGTGCCTGCAGCACCTTTTCCGTCTGTCGAGACAACGCGATGCGAAATGATGGCGCGATGGAGAGGAAATTAAAATAGTTGCGAGAGAATTAATATTGGTGGATATAAAGAGATGCAATGAAAGAGACTCTAATTGCACTGCAAGTAACACGCGGAAATGAAATTCATTGAAGTGTGAAGTGTGTTTGCGCGGAAAAAGATGATGATTGAAGGGGGATTCCACAGACTTGATGAGGTGCTTCGCGAGAAAATTGTGGACCACACGTGAAATCGTGATTAATTCTATGAGGGAGAATTCAAAATTCCTGTCATTTTCCATCTCCTCGGCTTTGTCTCTGGGCGCACTTTTGAGAAATATGGCCAGAAAAGTGGTGAAACAAGGTGGAGAATTGTATGAAAGGCGAAATGTACACCGAAATACGATTTCTGTATTCGCAGAGAGAAAAGAAGAGATTCTCCTTGGAGTGCCTGAGAAAGTACACCATTGGCATGAAGTGTCCTTTCCTTGACCTCAACTGGTTTCTCTGCTGCAGAGTTCATCTATTCCGGGAATTGAAGAGCGCGCGGAGTTCTTTGCAATTATGCAACTCCCGATGGTTGCCCCATATGGAAAGTGCAGCGGAGGAACAATCAACTGAATCATTATTTCCGTGCTTGAGGAAAGCTCTTGTGTTTCCCTCCATTTGTGAGGGATCTTTCATTGTGTCCAATGTTGCTGTGCTGCTTTGTCGCGAGATTGTTACCCAGGGAAGGCAAAACTTTCCGCTATGCCGGAGTGATGCTGCTGATTCGATCAGCTCTCCCGTGATGGATTAATTGATTAGGGGATTGAGGCATGAAATCACTGAATCACCGCGGATAAGAGGCATGTTTGGAATATTTGCTCAGCGATAGATGAATTGTCTGCATGGTCAAGATACTTCATCCCTGACATGTGGTAATCGGGAATTATCATCTGCAGCTCTTGCTGCGTATCTCGCGATGTATCTCAGTATTGTGGAGACTGGTTGAATTGCCGCTGAACTTGAGGATGACTCTGGGTTTGTAGGAAAGAAAAAAAAGAAGAACTCTGAGGACTTTTGGTCGGATTTCATGTGAGCGCGCGATGGCTCTAATTTAGACGTCTCGCACGAGGAGTGCGAATTATGCGAAAATGCACCTTTTGTGATGGCTGAAATTGCAATAAAAGCACGTCACGTGAATTCTTGGACGCCTCTTTGCCCATTGTTGGCTGCAGAGGAGTCGCCCTGGGTATGAAACTGGTTTGCCGACAACCTATTCATTCCCGTGGCCGTTCCTCCTGTTCGATTTTGCTCTCTCTCTCTGTGTCTCGAGTGAGAGAGGCAAACTGGTGGATAATAGTCATCTCTGTGATGCCTTTTTCCCTCTCGCCCTTCTTACAATGTTGCCACATCGCGCGCACTCCGTGTTGCGGGCAGGATTTGCTCTGGCCACCTGTCTGGCATCGGCTGAGGAATGAGAGTGGCCATGAGTGTAGGAAAATGCCTGCTATCTGTCCGGTAGATCAGGAGAATACTTTCCTTAGCATCCCAATAAATTATCCCAGTAGAATCGCAGGTTGCGGAATGTGCGGAACTGCAGGGATTGATGGAGGTGACAAGATATTAATTGATGGTGATTGGAGATCCTCGCAGGAGGCGCACTGCAGCGCTCTGTGACGCCGCCGAAGGAGGTCAATGGTACCACTCTCTTCCCTGTGGTACTTTGGACACGGCACAGGAGAGAGAGAGAAAAAAAGCCATCCACGGGAATTCATAAATTTCACCATCCCGCAAGAGAGCTCGTTCTGCATAATTCAACCGTGAATTGCTATGGAGAGTTCCACAGCGTCAATTTACTCCGTGTTTTCTCCCGCTTCGCCTGCAATTATCTCCAATGGGTGCTCCTCCGGTTAATTATATGATAATTACAAGTGTCTCTGATGAGATTGCCCATTTTCGACCTGATCCGCGGCGGAGGGGAGACGCTTCTGCAGAGCGTCCGTTGGGAAATTCACGAAAGGGTCTCTTCTTCCGCTGCCGCAAAAAGATGAGCTCAAGCTACTAATATTTGTTGGATTTTCTCTGTTTGTCGCCAGAAAAAAAGGGCTCGTGATTTGGTTAAACGCTAATTTCATTCATAATCACTCAAGATGAGCATCGTGTTGACCTTTTTTTCATAGGCCTTTCGTGACTGTTTTTGCACTCAACACGCGCGACTTAAGAGTTGAAGTGACGGCGGCTCTTCTGCGGCACATGGAAATGATGAGTTTGGCAAATAAATTTGTCTTCCGTTTTGGTGAAGGAGAGAGAAAATATTGACAAATAGGAAGATTGGTTACGCGACATCGACATTCACACCTCACAAATTCACTGATTTATATTCATAAATTCCGCACGCAATTAATTTTCTGTTTTTGCGAGGAAATCATGGATTAACGTGATCGTCGTGTTGAAGATGAGTGAAATATTAGCCATTAAAGATCACTTACATGAGATTGTCAGTCTCTGATGAGTTATCAGTGCAAAATTGCCACTTCCAGCCTTGATATTCTTCTCCTTTTGTGCGACACGCCTCGTGCTGTCGTTGGATGTTGGCGCGCGGTACGATATTGAAAGAAGAGTTATGGAAAAAGTCTTTTACCCGGTGCCACTTTTTTTTTCTCTCTCTCTCTTTTTCTTGGCGCATCTCTCGCGGGATACAAGAAATATAGCACTTTGCATGATCACTTAATGTATTCCAGGCTTCTTGGCTGCGATCGTGCAATTGAATCTCCTCTCTGTGGTCACAGTGTTGGGGATGGCACGACAACCTGGGGATTTTAATCTAATTTGCATAGGCAGTCTCCAGTACCATCATTAATAAATATTAATGCTGCGAGACTGCAGAAGGGGCAAAAATTGACTCGTAATTAAATTGTTAAATGCTCCGTAAAAGCGGACGTGAGATAGCCAATGGATCGAGTGGAGTGCGTCTTCTGCGGCTGTGGATCTTCTTCTTTTATGTCTTGATTAACTGAATATTTTTTGATTTTGTAAGCGACCGTTAAGGCGCCCTGTCACATCGAAATGACGCCACAAGCGGAAGGATTTTTTGAAGGACTACAATTGCTTGCAATCTTGCATTTTGACTCCATTTTGGACACGTCTTTGCCTAGAAATCCATTCCAGTTGTGTGTTCGGATTCAGCAATGCGCCTTATTTTCTATTCCAGGTGACGTTCTGTCTGGCGTGTGCTTCGTGGGTCAACTGGACACTCACTCTCTGGGCATCTTCCTGCTCCTGCCGCTGTGCATCTATCTGGCCGTTGGCGCACTGTTCCTGCTGGCCGGCTTCGTCTCCCTCTTCCGAATACGCACCGTGATGAAGCACGACGGCAATCGCACGGACAAACTGGAGCGTCTCATGATGCGCATCGGCTTCTTCAGCGGCCTCTTCATTCTGCCATCCATTGGCTTCCTGGCGTGCCTCTTCTATGAGTACTACAGCTTCGACGAGTGGATGATCCACTGGAATCGGAACATGTGCACCAAGTTCAGCACCCCTTGTCCACTTCCGCGGCCGCATCGCGACGACCAGAAGCCCATCTTTCAGATCTACATGGTGAAGTACGTGTGCAGCATGCTCGTGGGCGTCACGAGCAGCGTGTGGCTGTGGTCAGGGAAGACTGTGGTGAGCTGGCGCCTCTTCATTGAGCGTCTGCAGGGCAAAGATTCGGCCCGCAGTCGAGCCACGGCGTACGTGTGAATCACCCAAAGACTCTCAATTCTTCTCCCACACATCACACGTAGAGTTCTCTGGGAGCAATCGCTGAGGATTCTCCCAGAGTTTAGACTGTAAGTCATTAGTAGACCCCGTTTAATTGATGATGGCGTTGTAGCCATCATTCTTTAGAGATTTAAAGAAAATGACACTCTTTGGCAAGAAACCTGCAATCTAAAGCTGTTTCAAAGACTGAATTCAGCTCACTGCATCTCATATTTGTTGAAATACTCATTGTCATACTTTGCAATCTAAATATACTTTAGGAATTATATATAGTGGAAAATATCGAGCTTTATGTAATGAAAAAAAAGAAGAAATGTGAAATTAAGAAAGCCTCAGTAGAGTTTCCCTGGCGAGAATTTGTTGTGCTTCTCGTGGTGCATTTTAATAGATGAAGACTAAGAAGAAATATGAATGGAAATGTAGACTTAGAAATTGTATATATTATGAATATCGTTAATCAACCACCAAAACCTGTAAATATCCTTTCATTCAATTGTAAAATATACATAAAATCTTCTGAAATGTGTAGCTTTCAAGTAGAATACACAAGAGAGAGAGAGAGAGGGAAAGAGAGAAAGAGAAGATGAATAGAAGTGTAAGTTAGTGCTATCTTTTTAGATAAGTTTGTAAAGAATGACTGCCAAAAACTGTCTCACAATTTAGATTAATGGAGAAATGTGTAAAGTTTAGCGCATAACTCTAGACAAAATGTAATATCTAACATGTCTTTTGTAGTTGATTTGTGTACAGTTGAACAAATATACGTCGCGCAATATAGGATGAAAAATTGCAAAATGTTCTTTTTCCTCGAACGGCAAAACTTCCCACATATAAGATGCTTCAGGAAGAAGAAAGGACGTGAATTTGCATTGTTTGCCCCGACGAAGGCGCAGCACGAGAAGAGCAGCAAGCACGAGCACCACGTTCATGACTGAAATAATATTTCACTCCTGAGAATTCCGCTCAAATATCTTCAGTCTTGGAGTTGGAAATATGCAAACGTGACCAGAATGGCTGAAACGACTGCCTTTCGGAGAGCTACGAAATCATCTCTTTCTCTCGCTCTGCTCATTTAAATTAACCCTCCATAAATGAGGAGGAAAAAAAGCGCAAAAAGTCCTGCAGAGAGTTTAATTGAAAAAGAAACTCTGGCAATGCATCAATATTGATTTTCGCATCGCAAATTCAATATCAGCAGTGATGAGAGGCAGCAAACCGCATTCATTCATAAAGGGGTGGACTTTCGAGAGCAACAGTGTGGAAAAATGAACCACAGAGAGTGATTAAAAATAGACACTGAAAAGCTCTTTCCACGCTATTAGTTTCGTTGCACCCTCATTAATTATCTCGGATGAAATTAAATTGATTTCCTCTCCAATTTCCGGGAAAAACACTCCTATTTTGCACCGTGAGTGAAGCAAAATTGAAATATGTTTGGTAGGAAAACTCTAATTTCCCAATTAAATGTTGCGCAAAGTCAATTAGCCTGAGGCAAGGTTGAACTTCACAGAGCTTTTGTACTTTTGGGGAAAATGGCGTGGAAGCATTATTAGGAAATATTGATATTAATAGACGCTAGAGCAAAAGTTTGTCGCGTACTCTAGGCTAGAGTGGTGCGACAAATTGACAAATATACGCTCTCAAAAGTAGTGCGATCTTCTTTCGCCACCGGAAAAAGGAGACATTAATGAGTCATTGAGTTGCTTGTGAGGACGTCTGTTCATTTCGAGGAGGTCACTGTTTGCCGTGTCACACCATGAATAAAAGATGATGACGGCGGCACGTAGATTTCCACCTCTTCTTCCACGTTTTTCTCATCAAGAGGACATTTTTCTCTCTCGCATGGCTTTCCTCGAGGAGGAAATCGTGCAGATCTCGAGCCTTGTGTTTTTTTCTATGCTGCTCATCTTCTCATCCAATGAATGGTGCGCCTTGTTGGTATCCCACAGCGACTGTTCCGGGGGATTTCTACTCCAGCCACTCCAGGGCGCACAATTCATTGAAAACACAGAGCGCACATTGAGCGAAACAATGCCCGGCTTTGTGCCCCTGACAGACGGGCGCTTTATTGATTTGACCGCGACGAGACTGGCAGAGGGAATCCGCCAATTGCGCCCTGGAATAAATCATTAACGAGAAACCACCACACTTTGCGTCGTTGTGCACGCAAAGGGGTGAAGTGCAAGGCGGAAGAGATTTCCATCAGTCTGCGCGCTTTGGGCGCGGAAAGCGGGCGGACGGAAGACGTCGATGGAATGGGCACAAGGCATGAGAAATGAAGAAGTCTCAAATTGGCACCTATTAGCCTATGCAATCTTCCTCCACTTCCTCTAATTAATTTCACATGTGCCCAGCCAAGAGGTGGACAAGTGCGGCGCGCGAGTGTGGAAAACACAGATTAGACACGAGCTCAGGCCCAGTTATTCGCCCCTCGGCCACTCCACAGACGCTGGAATTAATTCAACTGATAAACACATGGTGCTGAAAGTGACCAGTGGAGAAGAGGCGCAAGTGTTATTCCTGTAAATCAACCGAAAGGTGATAATGAAAGAAACCTCTAGAGAGCAATTCCAATTCATTACATCTTCTTGACTTTTGCACAGCTAATGAGGCACTCCGCCGTGGAAAACTCTCATTGCGCACACCAGAAGAGGAACGGGAAAAGCCAACACTTTTCCATCTGACAACAAGTTGAAGGAATCATTCAACTCATATGAATTTCATTGTGAACCATTGAGAACGTCTGCGGAATTATTGAGTAGGAGCGCGGAAAGGTCTTGAATTTTAAAGCCATCCACTTCTTTTCTCCATTTCTATTGAATGTGGCGTGCGTCAAGGTGCAGTTTTGTCCGATTCTTCGCCCCCTTTTTTCTCCCTCTGGACGCGGCTTCTCTTGCACAACAGAAGAGGGCTAAAGAGCCGGTGAAATCGACAAAAGGTCAAATCCACGAGAGGTTCTCTGCGGTGAAGCCATTGGTAATTACCGATTGCATTTCTAATGGCCACTGCACGAAGCATTTTGGCGCTATAATGTTTCGCCAAGGGGGAGATATTTCTATTGAGAATATGATGTATTTTTTATTAATTCTTCACGCACAAAAGCCAGAATCAAAATCTCTCCAGCATTAAGTCTTCTCATTAATAGCAATTGCCATTAATGAATCCCGAGCAGTGGCGTTAGTAAAGCAACTGTTTTAGCGCTTTTCATGATACATTTTGCGCAGAGAAATTAAAGATTCTTGTGCTTTAAAAGCATCTTGAAGTGATAAATAAATATTTTTGGGCATTTATTGTCCTCTGTGATACTGACGGCATCGTCAAATCGATTGATATAATTGAGGAATCGAGTTTTGGTCACTAAATTTGAACGAAATAAATGAAATTTCTATGGTAAGAAAATGAATGAAAGTGCTGCAATTGGACTGAAACTCATAATAGTGGGTCGAAGTTCTGGACGAGGGATTCAGTAGGACGCGGTGTACAGCTCAAAGCCGTATTAACTCTCCCTTGATTCTCAGCAGTGCCGTGAAAGACCCCGTCAAAATGATCTGTGACGTGAATGGAGGCAATAAATGCGAGAATCTCGTGCTCACCCACCCACTGGCCGCGGCTAAGCGGTGGGAGTTCGTGGAAATATTTCAATTTTTCCACAACATGAGGCCGCGGAAGAATTTTTACAGGCAGAGAAACACAAATTCCATTTCCAATTTCATCGAATATGGAGCGAGTTGAGTGAGATTTGGGACTATAGATAGGAGATTCTATCGCTCAAAGTCATGTTTTTTTTTTTTGGCCACTCGAGGAAAATTCCAGTGCAGAATTGCAGCAATGTGTGCAGGAAGAGGCCATAATTGATGGGAATTCTCGATGGCAGGAATAATAAACTCACGTATTGATTAGCGCCTGATTTGCATAAAAACTCAATTAATTTTCAACCTGAAGAAAAAGAAAATACAAAACTCTCACCTCGCAATGGAAAGCAATTATATTGCGAATTATAGGGAAAGTTTATCGTTGAGAAATTCTCCTCTCGGGATTTTTCTAGGAAACCCAATTCTGAACTTATTCAGCAATAAATCTCCCTAGTGGAAAAAGATGCCGCGAGAAAACCTCGTCAACATAATCTCCATTTCCATTCTAATGAGATATCGATTGAATTCACTCCTGTGCACAACGAATGGAGAACAAAAATCCATTTCACAATTTCCGTAGTGATGGAAAACTTTTCCTGCTGGTGCGGGAAATCCTTCCTGAAAGCCACGCGTTTGCAGAGTGCATTTCACTGTGTTTCCTCCCTTAATTCTCTACACACCCTCAAAGCGCTCTACATCATAGATTACATTTCGTCCAAGGGGAGAATAAGTGGAAATGTGCAGTAGAAGCACATGTGATGTCAACAATTTCCTCTTCAGTCAGCCATTTCAGCCGTTCTTCTCATGTGTTTTCAGCTGTGTGGAGGAGATGAAAGAAACGCGAGTTGATGAAAGTTTTCCCGCGCAGCGGCAAAATGATAAAATGTGAATTGCATCTGGTAAATCGTTCGCTGGGTTAATGGGTTTCCATTTTAATGGCTCACCCAGAGTGTCTTCTCAGATCCATCACGAGAGCACTCTTTCTCTCTGTGCCTCTCCAGTGTCGTTAAAGAGAGCCTCCATTCGCCGGCATAAGGACAGTGTTTGGCTGTCGTAAAAAGTCCGCCAAACGTACACGCATCTAAGATAACGGAGTGACCATAAAGCGGACGGAAAAACTCATTACAATTAAATGTACGGCATTATTCCGGAGCGGGCAAAAGGGAATTCCGCTGAATTACACCCGCAATACAATCCAATTAATTGATTACAGCGCGCCACTCGTGAGCGCTTATCAGCTGTGCGACATAGGAGAGAAACTCCCACTCGTCGTGCTGTAAAAGTGTGACCCTGAGGAATGTCTTTGATCGTCGAGAGACACAATTATTTCGGCTTTTATTGGCCTGGCGGAGGAAATCACTTTTATTGCAGCCAATTCTTATGTCTCTAGCAATTGCATAACTCAAGGCGCTCCTTCTCTCCCCATCTCGTCAAAATTCTGCATAACTTCAGGATGATTTCGCCTTCTTTGAATACTCAACGAGAAATGTATCCGGAAACTTCATATCTTTTATTCATCAATTTCTTTTCTTTATGTACAAAGCATTGGAATTTAATATAAAAATAGTATGTAATACCTACAGTTAATTGTTTATCAATATCGGATTAATAAGATGGGCGTAGAAAAAAATTAAGGCGACTTTTATATGCGCAATACAATCAATTTCTTAAGTACCACATTTCGTTCCGATGCACTTCCATCTGCAGGCTTTTATCATCGCATTTTTCTTCTTTATCCTTTTCAATAACCAAAACAACAAAAAAATAAACAATAAGATCAACAAAAGGGGCAAGAAATCGACACTGTCGACCAATGGAAAGATTACATGGAAATTTTTTTTGTTAAACACTACCAATGAAGATATTATTGTAGTTTAAGCCAAATGCGGCAAAAGGAGTGCACAAATGTAGGGATAAAAGGAAATATTCAAATCGTCTTATGGCCATTTCTCTGCATCCAGTATTCATTTTAAATTAAATAAATGAAACCCGAGCAGAGTCGCTCAATATGCTTTCTTTTTCTTCTGTTCTTTTGTTTTTGTCTGTGTGCTGGCAAATTATAAGTGGTCTTGTGATCCTTGCAGGACAAATTAATCACTATATACTTTCCTTCTTCATGTATAAATAAACGTTGGAAAAAAATTGTATCTCAATTGCACATAAAATACTCTCCGCTCAGGAATGACTACAGCAGAACGATCTTCACTGGTCCGATTGGCAGTCTCTTCATGTAACTCCACGCATCGACGCGACTCACCGTGGCCATGGAGAATCCATTAATCGCCATAATCTCATTCCCATTCTTCACCTTGCCGGACTTCTCGGCGGCGCCGCCTGAAAAAGGGAGAAAGTCAGCCTTCAGCGGGACAATCAATCAATTTGCAGCACTCACCCATGAAGACTTTCTTCACCAGGAGCGGCCGATTGCCCAGCGGTGAATCGAAGCCACCCTCAATGGAGAAGCCGAGACCGCAAGAATCCTTCACCACCTCCACCTCGCGCGCCCCCTTGGGCACAGAGCGCAACTTCACGAAGGACGAGCACATCTTGTCGTCCATTTCGGCACTGCCATTGCCCAGTTTTACAGCTGAGGAGTTGGGAAAAGTGAGAAACTTGTGTTAGCAAAATCATCTCAAACTTCTTCTCAAAAGCAAGGAAACTCACTCGAAATTCCACTGGAAACTGATGGAGGACTCTTGAGGCCGTTCTCTTCCTTCAGAGATTCTCTCGAGGTGGCAACATCTGCAAATAAGATACAATGTTAGCCATCCAGTCAACTCCAGGCGCTTGTAAACTCACCTTCATTCGTCATTATGTCCAAATCAAGAGATCTCGATGCTTTGTGGAAGCTCTTCAGCTTCGTGTCGGCCACTTCGGGCGTGTCCTTCTCAGTGAGAGACGTCAAGGAGCCCAAAGACGACCTCTTAGTCTTCGTCAGAGTCGACGTGCACACGCTGGGTGACCTTGTGACTACCACAACAACTTCCGGACGAGGAGTCTGCGAGGGAAAGTGGAAAACAACAGTGAGAATTCGAACATTCATAAGATTTTGGGATGAAGAAATTCACCTTTAGAACCGTGACTGATTCGCGGTGTGTCAATCCTCGCATGCTGAGACCATTGATGGCCAGGATTCTGTCGCCCTTCTTCAGTCGCCCATCCTTGTCGGCCGGCGAATTGGACAGAATCTTGTGCACCGTAATCTCCTTCGCCTCGTAATCCGCGCCGCCGGCCAGCGTAATGCCGATGCTGCACTCGGGAGAGTCCCGCTGCAGCACCACCACGAACGCCTCGTGGTTCTGCAGCGGCGGGTCCGCCTCCTCAATGATGAACTGCAGATCTTGCGCCGTGATGAGACTGTGGCTGCTGCCCAGCGACGAGAAGCTCCCGAAGTCCGTGGGCGTGCTCTGCATCGTCTCACTGCCGTTGCTCTGAATGCTGCGCGCGGGCATGGAGGACACGCCGGAGGAGGAATTGGACGCCACGGACTCCCAGGAGGAGAAGCGATCGTGGTAGTTGATGGCCTTGTCTCTGCTGGTGGGCGTCGTGGGCGTGGCGGCCTGTCGCGTGGGTGATGGCACGAAGGAACTGCCGGCGCTCTTGCTCTCGAACTGCCTCCGGATGTCCGCAGTGGAGAGCTTCTTCTGCTCACTGAGACTCTTGGGAATGGTCCTCGTGGTGGGCACAATGTCATCCACCTTATCCTTGACGTGAATCTCTGTCGCCTTCACAGGCTCCGGCGACTCCTCGAGAGTCGTCTTGGCCGCCTCCTTTCGCACCCACTTCGCCACCTCGTTCATCTCATTGCCGTCAGACAATTCATCGGAGGAGGAGTGATTGAGCCGCCGGGGAGTCTTCTCCACCTCCAGCGCCTTCACTGACTCCACTTTCGCAATCACCTCCTCAGAATCCGACACGACTTCCACGAAAGTCGCCACATTTATCACCCGATCGACAATGCTGGGCAATTCACCCGCATCCACGAGCTTGTAGTTGATGATCTGATGGTCAGGCTGGGCGGATTTGCCATTTGTCAGAAGGTTTCGCACTTTGGGCTTTGGCCTCTTGATCTCATCTTCGTCATACCTGCAGGAAGTCAAAACTTAGCCATTCGCACGTCATTAAAACACAACCTTTGCTTACCCATCTGTGCTGTCTTCATCCTCATACCGTCCAGATCTGGCGGCGTGATCATCACATCTGCCACTGCGGCTCTTCGCGGACGCCAGGATGCTCTTCCTGTTGATGCCGCTCTCGTTGGACGACGACTTCACCACCTTTCTCTTCATGTCCACCGTGGGCGTGGATCCGAGGGAGCTGCAGCTCGCCTGGGAACCAGATCCCGATGTCAGCGTGGACGTGGTGCTGCTGGCGATGGAGGTGTTCGTCTCTGAGCTGAGCGTCCGCGTGAGCGGCATCTTCTCCGCCACCACGGGAGATCCAATGGGCGTGGAGATCCTCGAGCTCACCACCGAATCACTGTCCTCACTCTCGTCCGTCTGCGGCGCCTTCTGCACAATTAGCGAAGTCCGCGGCGGCTTCACCGGCGGCGTCAGCGGCCCCATCTTGTGGCCCTCATCCTCCGTCGCCGCGTGGCCGTTCGTGGCCACCATGGGGCGGCCGAGGGAGGTGATGAGCGGGCGCCGGGTGCCGTCGAAGATGCTCTTGTAGCGCGTCTCGAGACTCGGCGGACTCGGCAGGGTCATCTTGATCTTCCGCTCGACGTGCGAGCGCGCAGGCGACGCCACGGACATGTCCGGCATGGAGAATCGCGATCCGGCCACCTTCTGCAGATCGGCACTCTTGATTTCAGGCAGATCCAGCAGAACAGGTTCGGGCGCCACACGCTCCGGAATAACGAGTCCCCTCAATTTGGACATGGACTTCTTTCGCGTCTCCAGCATGTTTGTGATTGAATTCCGCCGGCGGTCGTCCATGCACGCACCGCTGCCATACCTGGAAAGGGAACGCAGAAAAAAGATCAGGACCAGGGAATTCCTTGCACACACGACTCGTGACTTACCCGGAGAAGCTGATGGTGCGCGTGAGCTGAGCCAGGCCGCCATTCCGCCGCGGCAGGGATGAGTAGCTGGCCACCTCAACCTGATGCGCCACCTTTGGTCTCAGCTCAACTTCACACTCCCTGTGAAGATTAGGAACATCATCCACATCGAGATTCTCAACGCTCTTCGCCTTCTTCGTGAGGCTGTCGCCCCTGCCCAGCCTCTTGGGCCCGGCCAAATCACATTTGTCCAGCAGATCCTCGGTGCTCCTGTTCAGGCTCTTCCTCGTCAGCTCACCCTGCGTGTCTGGATTGGAGAACATGGCTATCTTGTCCTTCACGCTCTTCTCCGAGCGCTCATCCTTGCGCCACATGGAATTCAGGGAGCTCTTCCGCATCCCACCAGAGTCCAGCGTCCGCGACCGACTCTGCGTCAACTCCACACTCTCGATGGACTTTTTGCGCATCTCCACCAGAGACTGCGTGCCGTTCTGCTGACGCTCCACGTCCATCTTCAGCAGCAACTCCTGGCGCGGCTGCGAAACTCGCGGGGAATTGAGGGGCGGTGGAACGGACTTGGGCAGCGGCGGAGCCTCTTCCAAGAATCTGCAACATTCAACATGACAGCGTTAGGCGAAAGCGAATTCTCTCTGTGTCGCACACAAAAGGATTGTCTTGCTTTAGGACCTCCTTTCAAGAGGTCAATGGAGAGAGAGAGACTCAAAGAGACTGAATTTTCAAACACTTGTCTAAACACTCTCACTTCTTTATGTGTGCATTTCAGCGAACAATAGATATTGATTGATCCAAATGAATTGGTCTCTCCTTTCAATGCCTTTTCTACGCTAGTGATTCACCAATTTATATCTACATTTCACCCTCGCTTTCTTCCTATTGACTCTGTCAAGAGCAAATACAATAAGATTTGCCATCGCATATCTTTAGCAGATACGATGGCAAAGCATTTCCTGACGCCTCCCAAGCCAAACTCCATCGTGTAGTGTGACAATCTGAGATGCCCTACCCTCTGATCTAGATGTCGGGGAGAGAAATTTCACTTACGTTTTCACTGGAGACTTCCCTGATTGTGTCTGCTGTGTCGTGGGCTCTGTATCACTGAAATTCGGCGGGAATTCGTGACCATCGGGCGGCAAGCGGCTGAATGTGGGTGGTGGTGGTGCTGGTGATAAATGTGTCGACAATGTTGAACAATTATTCACAAGAGCAGATCTCTCCATGTCTGTTGGAGGAGAAAAGAAATGGTTGGGAGATCAAATTGGAATCAAATGGGTATAACCTTTAGGGAAAACATTGTGTGATCTTGCATTTCAATCTCATGCCACTCTCCCATGGCAAAATGTGCGCTGTGTGTGTAGTTTACTTTTAAATAGATTGCACTCGTGTGGCCGAGAGAATGGGGAGATCAAATTGAATTTCTCTGCATATTTTTTTTTGCACTCGCTAGAACTCTTTTTTATATTATTATTTTCCTTCTTCAACCGCGCACAATCCGTGGCTCTTGGGGGAGAGGGAGGCGAAAAAATACTACGGGTAATTGTTCACATGTTGTGGTTTCTGGGTCAGGCCCATTGCTGCAATTTTTCACTCTTCCCGCAAAGAGCAATTTATGTACACATTTGAATGTCGTTCAGTGTGACATGACAACAATGAACCATATATTTCACCAATAATTCCTCATCACATGAGCATCTCTCTCTCTGTCCGGCCGGCACCAATTCACTCAATTCGCCCCCGAGGAGCAAGAGGAAGCCATCAGATCAATCTCAATATGTGCCATTTGGACAAAGAGAGCGGCTCACAAAGGCAGTCGCGGGGACACAGAGCGACGACTTGCACCCATCGTGATTTATCGGATTTAGAGTGGAGGTCTCATCTTGCTTTTCGAGTAAAATTCCCCCCATTTAATTTTAATTGATCAATATTTCGTTTGCGCCCATTCTCTCCGCATGTCTGCCATCTCATTGCTCTCGCATTGACTGCATTCACATTATAATACATATAAAATTAAATGATAATGGTACAGTGATTGGAATGAAGATGATGATTCCAATTCATTAGTTGAATGGCACACAAATGGAAAATTGTAGGTCTCTCTCTGCCCTTCTCTCTCTCTCTCTCTCTCACTCACACTTCGTACCTCGCGCGACGCATCAAGTGATGAGCCATGAGGCATGATAAACATAGAATCTCTCCATGTGATTTCCAGCTCATTGTATCACTTTTCCCCCCCCTCATTCATTTCACATGCGGTATTTTCTTTCGGGCACTCTGCCACATTCCACCTTCACACTTCTCCTCAATCTCGTGTGCACCATGGGAAAATTCTTCAGAGAAATTCTCACATCATTTAGCAGGAAGAAGAGATGGGAAATTGCAATGTCAGGAAATTGGCCCACTATTCACACTGTTATTATCAATTTTTCCATTATGACCCACTGCTGTGAATTCGCAATCTATCTGGATAATTTACAATTTGTCATAACACAGTAAAAACATCGTCTTATATTGTCCATATTGTCCAAACAATGATAAAGATATCACGCCAAAAGGGAAACGTGGGGTAAATATGGAGAAATCAATTTGACACAATTCATCCTCCTTTCCCTATCCATTTCACAATTTGAGCCAGTTTCAGTTACCAATTCTGAGAGATTCTGGACCGTGAGGGAGAGATATTTCTGTCTATTGAGCATTTTGACATTCAACTTCTTGGAATACATCATCGTCGATGAGCCGGAGAAAAAAAAGATTCTCCCAAGTGACTAAGCAGAATGGGTAGATTTTGCCCCCCTTCACGAATCAATTGTGTGATGTCTTCTTGGCCGTGTGTGTGTGTGTGTGTGTGTGTGCATGCCAATCAAAAGTGATGCTTCAGCGACAGAACCAGAATCTCACGTGGTTCACACAAAATGCTCACGCTGAAACAATTAATCTTGGGGATTATCTCACTTCTCTGCACTTCAAGAGACACCCAGAGAGAGAAAACGACTAATAATATATATTTGCATGTGATGAAAAATTACTACGTGTGCAGAACATCGCGACTCTCTGTATACCAACCTCGATAGCGACTGTAGATTCCACTTGAACTACTATCGCTCCTCAATTTGGGCTTCAGAAACACAATTCGTGGCTCCATCAAACTTCTTTAAAGAAAAACGTCTCTCTCTATGGTGTGTAGAGTCTTTATTTCAGGCTCTCGCGATAAGACGTAAATCACGAGGCGATGGAATAAAAAGTCTCTCTTCAAATCACACTAATTGATCAATTTATATGACATCGTCAATTCTATCACGTATTTACAAAAGGCACAACACAAAAAAAAGCAGCCGTGTCCACTGAAAAATATAGAAGCGCGACAGAGTGAGAGGAGATGATAAATTGTGGAATTATCAATTGTGACTCAATTGTATTTCTTCTATTGAGACACACAAATAGATGACAATCGTCCAGAGACGCCTTGAGATAAATCAACAAATTTGCTGTAACAACATTTATTTGCACGATGGGGAGAAAATTGAGGTTGAATGACGGCAATGTTGCTGTGGTTGTAATAGATGGATCACATTTGAGGCTAATCCTTAAGCCAGTTTGTGGGGACACAACAATGCGCAAAACAGTTACCATTTCAGACGCGCGCGATAAGGCAAATTAAAATGTGAAACACCAAAAAGATGACATACAATCGAGTGTGGCCCAAATCTCCTCAACTATTTAGTGCCAATTTCAAACACCACTGAGATTATCACACAATCAGCAGGTCAAATGCGCAGGAAAAACCCCCCAGATGAGAAGAATGCAGTGAATCTCAATCGTCTAATAATCCTTTCCTTCGGTGGAGCACAAAATTTTTGTTAATTAACACATTCTCGGGACGCCGAAGAGGCGAGGAAAAGAGCATTTAATGCTATATAGAGAGCTCTGAGATGGATTTGTAGAGGAGAAAAAAAGTGCCGAAGAAGGAAAGAATTGGATTTGCGGAATTTGTGGCGTGAGAAATAATTACAAATTCTTCTACAATATTAATTCTCTGTTTTTTTCTCCCCCCTCTCACAGCTCTTCATCACATCTTCACATAGAGTCTCAAGTAATCGAGAAAGAGGTAAAAATCATAAAGTGAGAGATATAAGATGGTGAAGAGGAGAAATGGCTCTGAAGACGAGGCATGAAGTGTAGGAAAAAAAAATTATATGAATTAGATGAGTGAGGAATGGGGTTATTGCATTATTATATTGGTCTTAATCTCAATTCAACATCAATGTATTGCTTGTGTTGGAGAGCAGCGCATCATAAAATTACATAAAAATTCAATTCGATTTATTCAAATTAGCCACACACAAGCTTGGAAGTTTTCCTCAATTGGAGGCGGAGTTGAAGAATATCTTCCTCGGCAGCCGCTTCGAGAGATTTAATCAAACAATGAGGTCATAAATTCGGTGTAAAACCGCAAAATCAATTCGATCCGGAGAAATGGTGCGAAGGAGGAATAAAATCAACCAGGAAAATGCATCAATCTCATGATAATTTCTATAAGAAGTGGCATAAATGAAGGCATTTTTCTGCCTTACTGCTCTTGTTTTTCCGTGAACACTTTTGCAAAGTGAAAGTGTGCAATTGAGATGGATGGAAAATGGAAGAAAAACATCGGAGCACAAATGTGTGGTGACATTTATTGGGCGCGGAAAATGCTGCGATGCAGAGAAAAAACGACATATCGTCTCCTAATGAAAATCTCCTATAAATCATTGCCCATCGCTCGTCATGGGCGAGCAAGATTGCGATGAAAGACAGCGAGAGTCTCTTCTCTCTGTGAAATTTACCGAAGAAGTTGTATACAAAGCAATTCGATCCGGATGTGCAAATTAAATCAACACTCACTGACTAAAGACGTCATTAAGTGCACAATAATCATAAAAATGCCCTGAAGAAGCACACAAGTCTGCTGTTTCAGAAGATATCTCCTCTGTGGTCTCACCATCTCAGTGCTCTTGAGTCCCATTTCAACACCATTATATGAATGCCGACTTAGAGGATTGCGCTAATAACGCGCTCTTCCAGACGATTCGCCCTGAGAAATGCGCTTGAGAGAGAGAGAGAGGAGGAATTAAAATTTGCCGCATCTTCTTGAGAATCCAACGGAAAATTCTACAAATTCCACAACTGCACATCTAGTCTGACCCTTGACCTTGGCGGCTGCAAAACCCCACCGTCTTGCAATGTGGACTGTGAGAACACTTTTTTCCTTCCCTCCCAAGGAGACACGAGAGGAAAAAGCGACAAAGAAGAGACAAACAGATCGGGAAAGAAGCTCATACAGTCAATTGCGCCCTGTGTCTATTGTAAATAAACCATCAAATTATGATTTTTCAGCTCGCCATCCACTTCTTGTTGCCTCCATCCATGTCCAATGCTCAGTGGACAGCATCAATTTGACGAGACCACCGACTTCCCATCCCATATCCACATCCCGAGGACAGAAAATACACCACTTATTGTCCAACTATGGGATTTTGATGGATGATCAAATAAAATGATTGAAAGTCACTCACCGTAAAATTGAAAATACCACAGAATGTGGAGAAGAGCTCTCGAGAATGGCCGAGACACTTGTTCAGCCACGAGAATATGATCGAAAAGTGAAAATTAATTCCATCATTCGCTAATGAATTCATCAAGGAGTATCATTTCGACTAGAATAGTCAACCCTCCGCGTTTCTTCTCACGGATATTCTCACAAAAGGTGGCTAATAAGCTCGGTGAGGTACAAAAGACATCTAATTTTTCGGAGAAAAAAATTCAAATCAACAATAACCTTGTTGCTTTTCTCAGAATGATTCTCGAAATGAGTTAAAATTTAGATGTTGATTAGTTCGAAAGATCGAATTTCAAATAGAATCTAGAAGTATGAAAGAAAACAGTGTTCAAACTGTTAAACGAAACGCAAGCTGCGAAATTGTCTTGGAAATTGTGCTGGAAAAGAAATAAGCAAGATTCTGCAAGACTAACGAGAAATCTTATTAAGAAGTTCTTATGAATGGCTCACAAGATCTTAGGTAATTTCAATTACACGCGAAGAGCTTCTAATTAATGGTGACATTCAGGGGAAACTTAGAATGTGGGGTAAAAAGACACGTTAGATTTCCAGGGACATGTCATGTGCATTCAGTCCACTGGCAAATCTAGATCAATTAGTGTCTCGAAGCCCTATTGATTCCTCAA